CAAAAATATTGGTCGGTGCGCGCGTCGCCCCTGGCGTTCGAGACTCGTGTGCGCGTCTGGGCGGCGAAGTTGGAACCACAGCCCCGACGGTCAACGATACAGGCAACTAAAATGGGCGGCGGGGGTAGGGTGCGGGCTTCCTCGAACACGTGGCGGAACGTGATCGTTTTCTTATTCACTGTTTTGCCGATCCCTCCCCTCCGCCCAATGTCGACACGCCGAAAAAGAAAACGTTCACGATCCGCACCCCACCCCCGCCTCCCACCGATTCAGGAGAATCGATTGTTGGTGGGGGCAGGGTTCTGATGGCGCCTCCTAGCGCCACGCACGACACCGAGCGCGCAGCTGCGGCTGCCCGCCGGCGGCGGCCTCTCAGAGGAGGCTTTCCGCCCTGCGGCCTCGTGCCGGAAAGTGGAGCGGCAGCGGGCGCTTGTCGTCGCGGCACGGCAGGGGCAATCCGCACGGGCGCTCTGGTTGTCGGGGGGCGCTCGACGAACTGATGCTCTGGCCGCACGGGGGTGCGCGCGGTGAGGAGGAGCGGCCGCGGAGGACGGGAGGGAGGGGAGGGCACTCGCCGCAGAAAGCGTTTCAGGATGAGCGCGCTGGTGCAGCCAGCCGGTGTTGAAGTGGAACAGCGGGCACACGCGTCGACGACACATCGGCTAGCTGCTGGGAGTACTGCAGCAGCAGCAGCGTGCGCACATGCCCTCGACGCTCTGCCTCTTGGGCCATCTCAAGCTGCAAACTTGTGCCCCCTCGGGGCCCTCGGAGGCGTCTTGTGGTCCTCTTGGGGGTTCTTGAGTTACTCGTGAGGGCCATGGAGGGCCTCTGGGAGTCTTCTACAGGTTGTCTGTTTTCCTCCGCACGTCACTCGTGGACCGCAGTTGTCGCCGAAGTGAAGAAGCATGAACGCTTCTAGGCCAGTCTCGCTGCGCGTTGACTACCCTCCTCTCCTGCCTCCTCCACTTCCTCCATCTCCCTCCGCTTCTGCCTCGCTTCTCCTTGTGTTCGGCGTGAACTGCTGGAAGCCGCGTCCGACACAGATTCAGCGCTGGAAGGCGTTCCCTGGGCGGCTGGAAGGCTTGCTCTCCATAAGCATGCAGCGCTGGAAGACACCCGTGCTTTCGCCATGGGCTGCTTGAAGGCTTGCGCTCGATAAGAGTGCAGTGCTGGAAGCCCGCTCCTGGGCCCCAGATCTCCGACGTCGTTTTCTTTTGTCGACCCCCAGTCCAGGCCCCTGCCCCATCACCGGTTTTTCACCTTGAGTTTCCCATTTTGACAACGGAAGCCAATCAAAGCAGCATCGTGAAAGAGCCACTCAATGGAACGAGGCTGTGGGCTCGGGCAGTGATGAGGTGGCTGGGGCCTGATGCTGCTCAGCGTTGCCTCCTGCGGACGGGCCGCGATGCCTCGGGACGCACGATCCCGCTGTGGAGGCCTAGTCCGATACTAGCCTACCCAGAGTCAAAGTGAAGAAATATGATTTGCTTTTTTTCTGTCGACGGCGACTTGGGCCCAAGACGCGGTCAAATCATCGGCGGGACGCATCTGTGGCGAATCGGGCACGCGGCAGGAGAGGAACGGGCGCGGGGGGGGGGCGGAGAGAGCCGCGGGCGGCGGAGCGCGCTCAGGCTGTGAAGATCGTGCACTCGTGTGCCGACGCACGGGCTTGCACGGGTAGTGAACCGCGGAGCAGTACGGCGGGGTGCCCGGGGGCCACGCTCCGACGCGGCCACGCACGCAGGTTGTGCGAAGGGCGGTCTAGGTTGAAAGGACGGATTGCGTTGCCTGTGCTCAGGATCGCTTGACCGACCCCTATCCCCATCTCCATCCCTATCCGGACCCCCGCCATCTCAGCACCCCAGTTGGGGAGATACCCCTCGAAACCCGAAGGCAACAGCCTACAGCTCCATCTGGGGGGGCAAGTCGGCCACTGGGGCCCAGGCCACGCCCATTGGGATAGGGGCTGGTTAGACGATGCTCATACACGCCTGTACCAAACTCAGCGTGTGTGTGTGTGTGTGTGTGTGTGTGTGCTTACATCCTTTCTCAGCTTTGTTGTTTTTCAATCTTCATTGGTATTGAAGCCTGCACAGCAGGCCAGCATCGCTGCGATCGCCAGCGCCCGCGCCAGCACCGTCAACACCAGCCGCCGCCACCCTTCTTGCATGCATGCCTGTGCTCATGGTCATTATTTGCTTTTGCTTCCTGCAGCCGCATCTCTCAGAGGAGACTCTAAGTCTCGGGAGCACGGTTTGCAGGCGACGCTCAGTTACCGTGCCCTGGTCGCCCTCTGATAAAAACGTTTGTTTAACGAACTGGCCTGTCGGCCATTCCGATCCTGAGATGTCTTGGGTTTGAGATCTTGAGGTCTTGGAATTTGGTCTAAGGCTGATTGGGTATATGTGCTCATCACGATGTGTTTGGGATGGTGTGGAGGTCCGACGACGTGCCAGACTGCACCGCTCTCGCAACGTTCATAACCTACTCGTACTCGTAG